ATATTTTGGGCACTTTTTTTTGGCTGAAGATACAAAGGTAAATACAGCCATTGTTGATCGTTTAGGTAAGCTACTCCATGTTACTGCTGCCTCAGCATTCCTTTTGTTTGGCTTAGAGGCCTGCAAAGACCGTAGATGAGACTAGCTCCCTTATACAAATACATGTCCTGGACAGCAGTCACAGAGTCACAAGCAAATGTAAGTTCCTGATTTTGACTTCTCCAACAGCCCTTGTGATCAATAGGCTCCCCTGCCTCCTAGGGCAAGTATACTTTATGTATCTCTTAGATAAGACCCTTTCGGTACTTACCAAAACCCATCTCTTTTTATTTGAATTTACCAATCCAACCCTAGTTCAGGAATGCCAACACACTCTATCCACAAACTCTAATACAGGCATGTGCCCCAGTTCCCTATCTTTAGCTCTTGCTTTTGCTGGCTGTCTCCATTCTGCCTTGGCCTCCCCATTTGGCCCCTCCAGGCATGCCATGAGTAATACTTTACTGCAATTTATCTCTAGTCAGCTGTTGAATTAAGGCTTAGCATTCTGTACTCTGGGTGCTCCACTAAACAATGTTAATTTAACAAAGTCAGAACACCACACTCTGCCTTCTGCCTTCAGGAAATTTACAGCACACTGAGGGCAGAGGGGAAGAATGCAGTCAGTTATTAACACATTACTACTATAATGCAGTGAGTCAAGTACTCTGACAGAAGTACACAAATGGTGCTGAGAGAAAAAGTGGGCATCAAAAACAATTGGTAGGATTTCTTGAAGGATGAATTGATAATGAAGGAAGAAAAAAGGACATTGAAGGCAGAGGTGCAGCAAGAGGTGAAGAATTGATTGACTTTAAAGTAATGGTAATAATAAAAATTTTAGCCACTATCTGTTTAGCACTTATTATGTGCTAGGGATGCTTATGATAAGGTTCAGTACCATTGCTAGCTCCCTCTTACAGGTCTGGAAGTGGAGGGAGACTTAGAAAGGATAAGTGGCTTACCAATGATCACCAGTGAGTGAGCTATATGACCAGAAAGTCTAAAACAGTCTCAATTCTTTCTTATTCCCTTTGGGAGAGGGAGGGGGAGAAGCGGTGACAGATGATGCTGAAGAGGTACAATTTGTAAGGTGCTTTTTGTTAAATATGGGAGTTCTAATTTTCTGAAGGCTACAGGGACACATAAGGATTTTAATCTTGGTATGACTTGACTGGATTTAGTTTGGAAAGATCAGATGATAAAAATAGACTTTCCAGAACCAGAACTGGAGGCTGGAGTGATCAGTTAAGGTATTGAAGTCATGCTGGGGAGATATAACAGGCACTAAGACAGTAGTAATCGAGATGAAGAGAAGGGAACATTGAAAAATAAATATTTCAAGCCTAGCCAGCATGGCTCAGTGCTTGAGCATTGATCTATGAACTAGGAGGTCATGGTTTGGTTCGATTCCCTGCCAGGGCATATGCCCCAGGTTGCGGGCTTGATCCCCAATGTGGGGCATGCAGGAGGCAGCTGATCGATGATTCTCTCTCGTCATTGATGTTTCTCTCTCCCTCTCCTTTCTTCTTTTTCTAAAATCAATAAAAACATATTTTTAAAATATTTCAAGGTAGAAATGATAATCCTGGTAAACCAACTAGAATTAAATATTAGGGCACTGTGTTCAGATAATTACATTGAGACAGTAACATGTGTATTTCATAGAATATGGTATCTTACATAGTAAACATCTAATATATGGTATCTTTACAATTCTCCAAATCTTGAGAAAACAGGAGAAATATTTGAGTGGGAGGAATTGAAGAGTTTACTTTTAGGTGTTCATTTACATTAATTGGATCAGGGTGGGCTCATATAGAGAATGGGATTTGAAGAGAACCCTATGGGGGGAAAAGGTTTAAACTTGATGAGATGAGCCCTGCTAAAGTGGAGATTCTGTGCTGAAGGCAAAGTTGGCTTTCAGTTCAGCCAAAAAGGCAGAATGGAGCAAGAAGGGCCAAAACAATAGGACACTTGTGAAAAGAAAGGGGAGGCAGGCCAGGTCAAGGAAGTAGGAGGTCCATAACTTTGAGAGGTAAGAATAAGGCAGAAAATAGAGAACAAGACATTTTGAATGGTAATCAAGGATAGCAATTATAAAATTGTATACCTGAAACCTATATAATTTTGTTAACCAATGGCACTCCAATAAATTAAAAAGAAATTTAAAAAACAGGGGCAAGAGAATATTATCTGGTCTCAATTTATAAAAGGTAACTTGGCCAAATTTCTTTTCATAGCATTACTTCTGGTAAGTGAAAATGGGCAAGAGAGTGGGAAGATTTTGACTTTACATACTTTCATACTGTTAGGAAAAATTTTACACCATGAAAATGTATTATAATTATTAAAAAGCTAGATGGAGCATGTACTAATAGGGCATGTAGTTATCTAAAGTACACATTTAAATAAAAGTATTACTGTAGTAAGATTTCACTGTTGGAAAGGGCAAATCATTAGAGTCTAAAACCCTACTCCATTTTCCACTCTAGCTCTCATTTTAACCTGTAAGCTTGGCATTCCTGACACCCTTTCTCTTGCTTTCCTCCACTCTAATTCACTTATGCTGAAATATTTCTGTGAGAAAAAAATAAAAATCAAGAAAATGAATTGTATGCAGCGTAGGTTTTCTATTTGATTAAGTCTATTTCTTTTTAATTGTTAGGAAATCTTACTGAGGATCGCTGAAGAGGACTCTAGGAGCTGAAAAAGTTGATACTCAAGGTAGTAGAACGTTCCTATTAAGTGAGTTGAAAGTCTAAACCATTGTAAAGGGTTAATCTGGAAAAATTCCGGTTAACTGTTTACCTTACCTATTCTTTTACACTTTTACTTGACCCTAACTGAATCAAGTAGCCCCATGTGATTTTATCTAAAGCGTGCAGGAAAACAGAGGGGAATAAATGAAAGGGCTGTTCTGCCTCAGAGTTCCACTACCTCAGTCTAGTGTGCCTTTACCCAGTATACAAGTTGTCAAAGATGTTTTGTTGCAAGATATATAAAAAGCGTGCAAAGATGTAGGACAGTGAGAATTGTGCTACCAAATTTGAAGGTAGCACTTGTGATAACACTGGTTCAGCAAGATCTTGGAAAATTATCTAATGTTTATCTTGCATTGGTTCTTATACTATCTCTGGATTCCAAAATAAGGCTTTTATATCTTCTTCAAAGAACTGTGGCTGGAATGTAGGACTAGTCTAAACACTGACAAAATGAATGCTGTAAGCTGAGCAGTTCTTTAAGGGAATCAGCCTCATTTTGTAAAGGGTTGCTATTATTAAATGTTTTATATGGCCTTCACTGAAATTTCCCTTTGGTTTACAAATTTGGTTTGCAGGTCAGAATTTTTCCTTAACTTTGACAATTCAAATTTCCCCACTCTATTATGTTTACTTGAAACACTAGTTTTTATGGCATGCGGTTTGTAGAGAAAGCCAATGTAACCTGTGGCTAACTAGGGGCTTTTATTCGCAGTTATGTAAGGTATCTTGCTCTGTATATGCAGGAATTCCCTTGCTATTGTGAAATACCTCCTCTCCCCTTTGTTATTTGTGGGGGAGTGCTGGGAAAATCTTGAACTTCTCCACTCCTCCTCAGCACGAATTTTACCATTAATTTTTAGATGTGAGAGAGAAATGCATTATTAACACACAGCAAAGGATTCTTTAAAAATAAAATCCTTTTAAAGCATGTTTGAGCCTCTACTAATTGTTTTCTCAGGAACTTATTGTATCTTTATGGATTCTTCCACCAAATTTATTTTTCAAATGTTGATAGCAATAGTAATTTGTTATAGATTACAGGCATAGAGAACTTGGCGTTTTGTCTTAGTTCTCATGATAAATGCTTACTAGTGAAATGCTCATTACTGAATTGCTCTTCCTTCTTTTAATGTTCTACTCAGGACTTTCACTGGGTTTGAAAACCACATATTAAACAATAGGTATATTTCTTTCATGAATAATGCCATAAACACTACAATCTATTGGTCAACTAAATAAGCAAATTCAGCAATTGCCTATGTGTTAACCAGCCGAGGAATATTTCTATGGCATTTTTTTAAAGGAAGAATATACTTAATGACTTAACTAGCTTAAAATAATTACAATGGAATGCCAAGTTATTTATTTTTGGTATGAAATAACTTAAACTTTGGGCAGTGTTTGAAGTTGAGTGATTCAGATGGTATTACTGGTGGTGGTGGTGGTGTAAAATCATAGGTCTTTTAATTATCTTTTTTTTTTTTTTTTTTCAATGAAAAAGAAGGGGGAGGAGCAAAAATCTATTTGGAATTTATCCTTAAAAATGCAACCATCACGACCAGTCCTGTGAGTGAGGCTGTAAAGTTGCTGTGCCATTAATATTAAGTTGATTTTACAGATGAAAAGAAATATTTTCAGGAAAAATAAACTGCATATTGAGGCTAGCACATCATTCACCTAGTGTTGTTGGGCAAGTTCACCCATATGCTGAAGCACACAGTGGCCTTAATGGGAAATATACTTGTTCCGGATAACTAAGGAGCTATTAAATGTTTTTCAAAACACATATTTAAATAGATACTTTTATAATTATATTATCCTGGTGCCTGATATTTAAGTAATAATGGTCAAACATACATAATAGTATTAATCCCCATATAACTCTCATTCAGATTCAACTATTATCAAGATTTTCCTCATCTATCCCATTAAATTATTTTTAATCATCATGTCATTTCACTCTTTTTTTAAATAATTCTTTATTGTTGAAAGTATTACATATGTCTCCCCTTTCCCCCAGTTGGTCCCCTCCAGCTTATTTCACTCTTTCATCTGTTAGCATGCATCTCTTACACTGACATTACCATAATAAAGCCATTATCACCTGTAACAAAATATGAATACACATTCTTTGGTACCTATTTTCAGTCTGGAATGCTGCCTAAATGTAGGAAAGCTATTTTCCATCAGAAATACCTCAGGGGAAGGGCACTCGTGAATGGAGAGGCATACATCTCCTCTGATGGCAGCTGAGTCTGTGCAGTTTTCTTCTCATTGCCAAATTAGCTGAGGGGATAAAAAGAGAAGTATTAGGAGCATTTTTCTGAAGACAAACTGTTGTTTAGTCTGGGGGATGCAAGAGAATATTTAGAATTCAAACTATAGTGTGATTTGCTACTTGTTCAGATGTGATTATGATATAAAAAATTAATGTGATGCAAATACACAAGGTATATTCCCAGCAGTTCATGTTTATAGCAATATCCTCCTCCTTCTACACGTCTTCTTCCTAAATGCTCCTGGACCTTTTATTTTATGTAGTGAATTAATCACAAATGTTTTACAAGAACATTATCCAAGGTGTTACATATTTCAGAAAAGTAGAAATGGTTTGAATAGCAATTGCTGAAAACATTAAGAAGGAATGCTTTCTGAGTTGCTAATTAGGAACATTTTTCTTATTTATGTAAAAGGGCACACCAGGGGATTCCATTTGAAATAACCTCAGTGATCAAACTTCTGATTAACTAAAAGGCAGAGACTGACTTTTTAACCAGTTACTTACCATTTTCTGTCCTAAATGGAGAATTACATTATCAAGTGAATAATGGAACATATTTGGATATAAATATAACTACCTTTTTATTTATATTTAGGATTGCTTGTTCCTGAGTCAGAAAACTTCCTAATATTTTTTCTTGCCAGTGCTTTGAAACCTTAGATATTTGGTTTTGAAGTAAAAGCACATTAAAATAACTGTTTACTAAATTTCTGTTGGATAAGAACAACACAAATGATATCATTTTTGAAAAATATGTCAAGTAAATTAATATTTATCTTGACCATACATATTTTTGACACTTTTGGGTTTATAAGCTTAATAATACTAAATTGTACTTTCTTGTTTTAAGTGACACATCAAATTATATAACTGGAAATAATAGCTATTGACCCATTTTAAGAATTCATCTGCAATTTGCCACATTATGATTTTTATATGCTGTGAATTCAGTTAACATTGACCCATTCCAGCCAGCAACATGCTCTTTTAATAAATTGCTTGGGATTTGCATTTTACCTAAAAATCTATAATAGACCAAACATTTCCGTTCCTTTTTACTTGTAAGAACAACATATCTACAAAAGCTAAGGGGTCTTTAAATTAGAAAAATAGTGGTAAAATATTTACCATCATTTTAATATCCAGCAATTTTTTAAATATCCAAATAATGGACCTAACAAGATAGAAAGAATACTTCTAAAGTCCTACACACCCCCAGTACCCTCAAGCACACCTAAGAGATTTTCAACATAAACATAATCATGCTCAGAGACTCATGGACAACAACAGGCATAAAAACAAGTTACTCTTACAAATATATCAAAGTCTTACCTGGTCTCTGTCCATGGATAAGAAGAAGACTCATCATAACAATTAAAAATACAAAAAGTAATTGTTGAAATCTCATTTTTCTGCCACACTAAAATGGAGCAGTAGCTCTCAAAGTAAATCAAACTCCTTTGAACAGCCTGTGTAATATCTGTGTGGCTCTTCTCACATTCTAATGACAAACCTCGGAGAACTGCCAGCTGCCTTTTCCAGAAAGGTTAATGATCACATCAGACAAGGTTACTGGTGTGTTGTGCTGCGGTCAGAGCCTCCCCGGTCCCAAACCCCTCCTCCACTCCCCTCCTCCTTCCCCTCTGTCACTCCCCTTCATTTCCATAAGCAAATATTGGTGAAATAAACCATTCAAGTGTGCTGTAACTTCAGTGGAAGCCTCCTCTGGAAGCTTTTAGGAGAGACTGATTTAATTCCATCTGGATTTGGCGAAATATGTAAAACTAGGCATGGCTTTGCCTCCTCCCCTCAACACTTGCATCTGTTTAAACTCTGTGTTGCCCATATTGGTCCCACGTGCAGAAACCAGTGGAAATGACAGGAAGTCTCTCCTTTGTCCTTTTTCACAAGGAATTCTGAAGCTCTAACTCAAGACTCCCAAATGCTTTGTGGCAGAATGTGCTGAATTGCTCTCCCATTACCAAATCTACTGCAAAGTGGTGCCTATTTATCTTAAATCTCTAAAATGCTTAATCTATGCGGGTTTATATCAATAAACATTCCTGGGGTTTAGAATGTTCTGCAATCAATCTGAAAAGAATTTATATTTTTATTTTGTAAAGTGCCATTTAAAAAGTAATGATCATTTTTATCTGCAGTATGTCTAGGATTTTTAAAAAAAGGAAGTGTAGACAAGTCACAAACTCATGAAATCTGTGTTCTGTTAAAAATGTTATATGTGGTGAAATACCAGGCTAACAGAATAGCACAGTCACAGAATTCAAAGCTCTCCCGACACATTCAGAAGGCACAAAAACCATCAGTGTTGTCTTCTCACACATGCACCAACATCTCTTCTTACTTAAAGTGCTTCCTTCTCCGTGATGAACTGAAGTTACTATACTTACTATAAAGTAAACCAAAAGAATCACGAAGAGACACTTTTGAAACACTTGTAGAGCCAAAACACCAAATCTGGAGCATATGCAGCTCTTATGAACTATCAGCAATTTGTGACATTTGGTCTCTTTAGATTCAGGTAGTTGGTACACAACCCTGGGCTTACTGAGTTTTGAAATTAATGTATGATTTGTCTTGATCTTGCAAGTCAGTTTGTAAAATTCCCTGCCTGCCTAATGTGGATACGAAAGGGGCCATATACTGAGCCTGACAAGCTCAGGGAGGCCTACATAGTGCCTGACCAAAGCAGTTCTTGGTGGGTTGTCACGTGCTCGGCCGGTATTTTCCCCTAACAAAGGTCAATCTTTACCTCAACGGAGCCTGCCTGTTGCCTTTTTTTTTTGCATCTATAATAACATACCTGATAATGTACCTTTGGAATATCAAAGTAATTTCCTTTTTTTCCTGAACCCCTCAAAGCACAACCGCTGCACCAGAGCAGAGACCACAAATCCTCTCATTGTTATTATTATCATGTCAGTTGTTAACTGTTAACCACTCTATACCCACCTAAGTAAAAGAAGCATGTGTCTCCCCTCTTCCTTTTTATCCTTTCCCAGAGATTTCCCAGCTTTGCTTTCTCTCCCCTCCCTTATCTATCACTAATGCACTTCATGTAAACCCCCTTCCGTCTTCCCCTTTGATTCTGATGTATAAAATAAGTGGTAATACTGCCATTTCCTGGAGCATTTTCTCAATCCATTGAGATTCTGCTTCCTGGCAATTGTCAGTTTGTCTCAAATAAACTCATAAAAAATTCTTATAGATTTGGATGTTTCTTATATTTGTGGTAGGCAGTTAGACAGACATGAACAGTGCAAGGATGATGGGCCAGGTCCAGAAGGTTACCAGGGAGGAAATTCCTGGGGGCCTAGCAAAGGACAATTGTAGGTGGGACCTCATCCCCAGGGTGACCTTTCCTCCCCTAGTATATCACTGGTCATTCGGTTTCGACCCCCTGATCTTTTCTACAATAGAGATAACATCTAGGTCTCAGTTGTATTTCAGCTTCAGGCCCAGATAAGCAGCAAAACCAGACACCCCCTCCCCTCCCAACACGCCCCCCCTACCCCACCCCCCCCCCCCCCGCCCCAGCTGACCTCAGAACCAGACTAATTGAATAATGAGCCCCTGCCCAGGCGCTGACCAATAAATCACAACCCTGAAAGGACACACCTGGAAAGCTGCTGAATATTCTATTGAGATCTTCCCCTAGGACCTCCCCTAAAATCTCTACCTTTAAAACCCTTAAGACAGCCCTAGCCGATTTGGCTCAGTGGCTAGAGCATCGGCCAGGGGACTGAAGGGTCCTGAGTTAGATTCCTGTCAAGGACACACATCTTGATTGCAGGCTCAATCTGGCCAGGGTGCATACGGGAGGCAAACAATGGATGTGTTTCTCTCATCTCTCTCTCTCTCTCTCTCTCTCTCTCTCTCTCTCTCTCTCTCTCTCCCTCTCTCCTCCTCTCTCTCCTTCTCTCCCTCCCTTCCACTCTCTCTAAGCATCAATGGAAAAATATCCTCAGGTGAGGATTAACAAAAAAACCACCACCACTACCACCAAAAAACAAAATACCCTTAGGACAGAGGGAGGATCCAGTGCACTCTCCCTCCAGGAGTACACAGACGCCTTTTCCTTCCCCTCCCTAACCTGCCTCCACAGACATATCACCTTTACCTTCCTTACCGCTAAGCTCCTTACCTCTATAACTTATTTCCTAAGCCTATTTCTTCTAGGAATTACTTCTTCTTCCTCTGTGATTTTCCAAATGAATGTTCTCTTATAGTTTGAATCTTGGCTTTGAATTCTTTTCCTAGCCAGAACTCCAGTACCAAGGTTGCTGAACCCAGGTCCCAGTCTGATCCCATGTGTCTAACACCTGGTGCTGTTTTTGCCACCCACAACACCTTGTCACTAGCTATGCATGCACCTCATAAAAGGCAATAGCATTCAGAAATTCTTAAAATCCAAAGAATATTTGCCTGTTTGGAGACTGGAAGCATAATGTTAAAGGGTACTATATTACCATGCTGTATTTGGGCATCACTACATACAGTTGAATATAACACTTTGGACTCATAAAAATGTTTTATGAATGGCAAACAGTGCCTCACATCGTTACTTCCCCTGCAAGGTTCTCTGTACAGTCACAATGGAAAACAGTAAGCTAACAAGGTTGAGTGTTAAATCAAGCAAACTAACGAAGACCAGTATAGATTTTGACAATATAATTTCAAGCCAAGTTTTAAATCTACTCAAAGGTTAGGTTATCTATGGATAAAACAGTGACCACCACAGACTGCACACATAGATTACAATGTTTATATTTTATTATCAGAAGATCAACGTTGAACTAAAATGTGCCCAATATAAGCAAATACTGTGTAAGACATCTCTAGAGGGTGCAGCAAAGTGTTGTATTTGTCATGTAACCACTTTGAAGATCAATTTTCTCATTAAAAAAATGAGATAAAATACCTGGTTTCCCTCTTACAAGAGTTGTAAAGGTTTAGCAAGATAATGGATTAAGTTTATGAAAGTTAATAGATTATTTATGTATACATTTTAAAATTATTCTTTCAAAAAACAACTTAAGGAAGATGATGGTGATGATGTTTAAGCAGTTGATTGCTGGAGTATAGTAGTAAAGTGTTATAAAATTGAGGGGTAAACTGAAATTCTAAACATTGAAGGACAATAACAAATGATCCAGCATTTCTATGGAATGCAAGTCAACAGTTGCGGTAAATCATTCATGTTAGTATTGAGCAACCGGGCATGGCAGAATCTTGGTAGCAAAGTGGTAAGTCAAAACGATGCAAGTGGCTCTGCAAACAGGATGTTTGGCCTGCAACCAGATGAAAATGATAAATCATCTTTGTTTATGTGAACAGAAGCCTTAACTTCCACCCCAACTACAGTAAAGGTCAGCCTCTTTGAGAGTAATGCACTGTCCCTCTGGGCCAGGTGCCATGCAAAAATGCATCACATATATTACAGCACTTAATATTCCTCAAAACACTCTGAAACATTATTTCCTGTTTACTAAATGAGAAAACTATCAACTAAAGAGGGTGTAACCGCCAAGGCAACGCAACTGGGAAGAGGAATAGATGGAATTCAAATACCATGACCTGAGCTTTCATCCATTTTCCTATCCTCCTGTCTAAGGTCAAAATTCTAATTCTTGTAATAATGGCCTATTGAAGCTAGCCTATATAATAAAAACGTAATATGCTAAATGTCTGGTCATTCATTCGACTGTTCATTCAACCATTCCACCAGTCGCTATGATGTGCACTGACCACTAGGGGGCAGATGCTCTGACCTGTAGGTTAGCTTGTTGCTGGGGTCCGGCCAATAGGGACTGGGCGAGAAGGACCGGACACACCCTGGAGCCCTCCCATGGTTCCTCCCTGGCCGGCCAACTTCCTGCGGCCCCTCCCTGGCCAGCTGATCCCCATCAGCCCTGATCCGGGACTGGGTGAGATGACCCTGATTGGCCCCGATCACTGGCCAGGCCAAGGGACCCCACCTGTACACCGGGCCTCTAGTTATAAACATAAGTTAGGGAAATGGTTATACTGGGTTGAACAGTGTCTTCTCCAAATTCATGCCAACCTAGAACCTCAGAATGTCACCTTATTTGGAAATAGGGTCTTTACAAATGTAATTAGTTAATATTGAGGTCACACTGGAGTAGGTTGGGCTCTAAATCTAATATGACTGGTGTCCTTATAACAAAAGAAGAGGCACAGAGACATACAGGGACATACAGGGAGAATGCCATGTGACAACAGAGCTAGAGATTGGAGTTATGCTGCTACAAGACAAGGATTGCCAGCAACCACCAGAGTTAGGAGAGAAGCATAGGACATATTCTCCCTCTGAATCTCCAAGAAGGAATTAAACCTTCTGACACTTTGATTTTGGACTATTCGCCTCCTGAATAGTGAGAGAATAAATTTCTGTTGTTTTAATCTACCTGGTTTGTGTTTCTTTGTTATAATTGACCTAGGAAACCAGTACAGATGCATATATTCCATAATTAGATTATTCTCTATGTAATTTTATAAAAAATACTAGGGGCC